GTGTGTGTGTGAGAGAGAGAGAGAGTGTGTGTGTGTGTGAGTGTGAGAGTGTGTGTGTGTGTGGGTGCGCGTGTGTGTGTGTGTGAGAGTGTGTGTGTGTGCGCGCGTGTGTGTGTGTGTGTGTGTACCTGTGGTTGGGACGGCGTCGCATTGAAGCTGAATTTCTTGTCTGTCCTGTGAAGAGAAAAGAGAAGCATGACATTCCTAAAGATCAGAGCACATGCTCTTCTGATGCAAATGGGACACTAAAAAGCTTCAGGCCACGGGTTTAAAGCAGTGCACCAAGAAAACAGTGAGACTGAACGGCTCTGGATTAGGGCTGCACGATATATCGTTTCAGCATCGATATCGTGATGTGCGGATCTGCGATAGTCACATCGCAGGACGTGTGATGTTTAGTAAACTGATCGTTATATTTATACTGATTGTTTTCTTTGCAGAACGCAGATAAACAGAACGCGGCATCAGTTTACTGTCGGGGATTTGTCATGTCGCGCAGCATCCAGTGTAGACAGCATCACTGATTATAATAGGTTCTGTAGTGTATGTGGTCCGGTGTAGACACGGTGAGAGCCACGCAGATGCACATGAACACTGAATTACGTTTGCTTCCGCGTCTATTTGTTCCTGAAATACACATATGCGCAAAATTGCGTCAAAATGCTTGTCTCTGCAAGTAAACGCAGTTGCTTATAGCTCAGGTGAAGGTAAACAAGTGAGAAAGAAAATTTTCAGTTAATACGCAATATTATTATTATTCAATGTTAATATGCAGTTTAATGTTCCGGAGGCTTTCTGTGTCATGAATGTTAATCAATCAACAAAACAGAGAAAACTTAACACAGATTTATTAGATTTAATTAATACAGTGAAGACTATGCACTTAGGGCTGGACAATAATTAAATATCAATATGTATCGAGATTCAATAACGGTGATAAGATTTTTAAACACATTTCCGATATTTCGATATACATTACCAGTGTTTCCTATACATTGATTTATTTGTGGCGTTTGACTTCGTTGAATAAACATGAGCACTGCACGTTTCAAAATCATAACACGGCGCGGGTGTTTTATATGAATGTATCTCTGAAGGGAACCGACTGTCTTCAGAATAGTTTTGTGGCGTTTTTATTTTATCTGATGAAGTAGCGTTCATGAGCGGAGCTGCTTTGATTACAGCCGTTACTGGAGAAACCGTTAGTTCTACCGCTTCAGAAGCGCCTCCTGCTGGCAGACAATCAGTTTGCATTTTCAATAATAAGCCCGTCTCCAGCAACATTTCCAGTTTTTGTTGTTTTTAATTTTTTTGTTTTCTGCAGCAACTCTGAGCACTTTTCATACCCTTTATCCTATCTGAAGCACATTTGTTTCAATCTATAAGATTAATCAGCCTACACTACCAGTCTAAGGTTTTTGAACAGTAAGATTTTTAATGTTTTTTTTTTTTT